ACTTTTCATACCCTAGTTATTTCATCGCTAAGTATGTTGAAGGTTTTTCCATGGAAAGCAAGAAGGAGTTTCATATCATGTGCCACCACATGAGGTTTCAACTCACTGAGGTATCGCCCATGAACAAAACATACATATTCTACAATTTCTTTACAGAACAAAACTGTAATATTCTAATATTACTTTGATTCTAAAAAATAACTCAGAATTCTGTACAGCTGAACTGAACTTTATTACACAGATGTCGTACATCAAAATATGATATAGCTTATTTTAATATCTTAGAGGCTTGCAATTCCACACACATGTAAACTCCATTGTTAGTATAAGAAGGGCTGAGTTGTGAAAAACCAAATGCATGTCCGTTTTCATGAGATCCTGGAGCTAGAGTGTCATAATGTGCTGGGACGTTTGCACGCAGTTTGTGGGTCAAATTATAATGGTAAAGTATAGAAAAATAAGACTGGGACAGAAAGACTTATTACAGGTCCTCCTAATGTTCAGTCTTGGCAAAATCTCTTCAACGAGGAGAAAGAAAAGGAATTTGTAGGCAGACACAATGCAATCAAATGAACAAGCCAGTGCCAGATCACCAGAAAACATCTTGTTGAAAATTCTGCCACGTTTGATATAATATAAAACCAGAACTATGAGATGCTGGTCAAGTTCAAAATGTGGAAAATGCAGCCAGATTGTTAGATGATTTTTCCTCTATTCACCCCCTGTCTGATTATCTGGCCTTTAATATGAAATTAAAGGGATACCATAGGCATCAAAACTACTTCAGCTTAATGAAACCGTTTTTGTGCATAGAGCATGTCCCTGCAGTCTCACTGCTCAATTCTCTGCCATTTAGGAGTTAAATTACTTTTGTTTCTGTTTATGCTGCCCTAGCCACATCACTCCTGGCTGTGACTCACACAGCCTGCATGAAACAATGGTTTAATTTTCAATCAGATGTTAAAGTGTTTATCGCCTATTCTGTATATTGAACTTTAATCACACACAGGAGAGAAAAAAATGGGTCGCAAGAGTATTCTGAGAACAGACAGCAGCTAAAATAGCCTGCCCTTCGGTGGGTCCCCGCTCAGAACTCAAGCTGGTTTTAGCTCAACTTGTGCCATTACAGAGAGAACATATCTGAAGCATATCAGACTGGTCCCACCCATACGGGCAGTCCAGATCCGAAATGCCAGCAAGTTCTTTCTGCACGAGAGATACAGCAACCCCAGACGATCGTTTCAGCCTTGTTAGGCATCATCAGTGAGGCATAGCTGATATCTCTCTAGGCACCGTGAGCAAGGAGGTCCACGCCTGATTACCCTTTAAACTAATGGAGAGAAAAATGGGTCGCAAGAGTATTCTGAGAACAGACAGCAGCTAAAATAGCCTGCCCTTCGGTGGGTCCCCGCCAGAACTCGTTGGTTTTAGCTCAACTTAGCCATTACAGAGAGAACATATCTGAAGCATATCAGACTGGTCCCACCCATACAGGCAGTCCAGATCCGAAATGCCAGCAAGTTCTTCTGCACGAGATACAGCAACCCCAGACGATCGCTTCAGCCTTGTTAGGCATCGCCAGTGAGGCATAGCTGATATCTCTAGGCACCGCGGAGCAAGGGGTCCACGTCTGATTACCCTTTAAACTAATGGAGAGAAAAAAATGGGTCGCAAGAGTATTCTGAGAACAGACAGCAGCTAAAATAGCCTGCCCTTCGGGTGGGTCCCCTCTCAGAACCAAGCTGGTTTTAGCTCAACTTGTGCCATTACAGAGAGAACATATCTGAAGCATATCAGACTGGTCCCACCCATACGGGCAGTCCAGATCCGAAATGCCAGCAAGTTCTCTCTGCACGAGAGATACAGCAACCCCAGACGATCGTTTCAGCCTTGTTAGGCATCGTCAGTGAGGCATAGCTGATATCTCTCTAGGCACCGTGAGCAAGGGGTCCACGTCTGGATTACCCTTTAAACTAATGGAGAGAAAAAAATGGGTCGCAAGAGTATTCTGAGAACAGACAGCAGCTAAAATAGCCTGCCCTTCGGTGGGTCCCCGCTCAGAACTCAAGCTGGTTTTAGCTCAACTTGTGCCATTACAGAGAGAACATATCTGAAGCATATCAGACTGGTCCCACCCATACGGGCAGTCCAGATCCGAAATGCCAGCAAGTTCTCTCTGCACGAGAGATACAGCAACCCCAGACGATCGTTTCAGCCTTGTTAGGCATCGTCAGTGAGGCATAGCTGATATCTCTCTAGGCACCGTGAGCAAGGGGTCCACGTCTGGATTACCCTTTAAACTAATGGAGAGAAAAAAATGGGTCGCAAGAGTATTCTGAGAACGGACAGCAGCTAAAATAGCCTGCCCTTCGGTGGGTCCCCGCTCAGAACTCAAGCTGGTTTTAGCTCAACTTGTGCCATTACAGAGAGAACATATCTGAAGCATATCAGACTGGTCCCACCCATACGGGCAGTCCAGATCCGAAATGCCAGCAAGTTCTCTCTGCACGAGAGATACAGCAACCCCAGACGATCGTTTCAGCCTTGTTAGGCATCGTCAGTGAGGCATAGCTGATATCTCTCTAGGCACCGTGAGCAAGGGGTCCACGTCTGGATTACCCTTTAAACTAATGGAGAGCAAAAATGGGTCGCAAGAGTATTCTGAGAACAGACAGCAGCTAAAATAGCCTGCCCTTCGGTGGGTCCCCGCTCAGAACTCAAGCTGGTTTTAGCTCAACTTGTGCCATTACAGAGAGAACATATCTGAAGCATATCAGACTGGTCCCACCCATACAGGCAGTCCAGATCCAAAATGCCAGCAAGTTCTCTCTGCACGAGAGATACAGCAACCCCAGACGATCGTTTCAGCCTTGTTAGGCATCGTCAGTGAGGCATAGCTGATATCTCTCTAGGCACCGTGAGCAAGGGGTCCACGTCTGGATTACCCTTTAAACTAATGGAGAGAAAAAAAATGGGTCGCAAGAGTATTCTGAGAACAGACAGCAGCTAAAATAGCCTGCCCTTCGGTGGGTCCCCGCTCAGAACTCAAGCTGGTTTTAGCTCAACTTGTGCCATTACAGAGAGAACATATCTGAAGCATATCAGACTGGTCCCACCCATACGGGCAGTCCAGATCCGAAATGCCAGCAAGTTCTCTCTGCACGAGAGATACAGCAACCCCAGACGATCGTTTCAGCCTTGTTAGGCATCGTCAGTGAGGCATAGCTGATATCTCTCTAGGCACCGTGAGCAAGGGGTCCACGTCTGGATTACCCTTTAAACTAATGGAGAGCAAAAAATGGGTCGCAAGAGTATTCTGAGAACGGACAGCAGCTAAAATAGCCTGCCCTTCGGTGGGTCCCCGCTCAGAACTCAAGCTGGTTTTAGCTCATCTTGTGCCATTACAGAGAGAACATATCTGAAGCATATCAGACTGGTCCCACCCATACAGGCAGTCCAGACCCGAAATGCCAGCAAGTTCTCTCTGCACGAGAGATACAGCAACCCCAGACGATCGTTTCAGCCTTGTTAGGCATCGTCAGTGAGGCATAGCTGATATCTCTCTAGGCACCGTGAGCAAGGGGTCCACGTCTGGATTACCCTTTAGACTAATGGAGAGCAAACAATGGGTCGCAAGAGTATTCTGAGAACAGACAGCAGCTAAAATAGCCTGCCCTTCGGTGGGTCCCCGCTCAGAACTCATGCTGGTTTTAGCTCAACTTGTGCCATTACAGAGAGAACATATCTGAAGCATATCAGACTGGTCCCACCCATACAGGCAGTCCAGATCCGAAATGCCAGCAAGTTCTCTCTGCACGAGAGATACAGCAACCCCAGGAGGCTCGGGGTCTAGAAGGCTATTAACAGAGCAGGAAATAAGAAATTTTAAATTAAACAGAATGTGCAATAAAGGAAGTTTAAACATTAAATATATCTCATATGAAGTGTTTAGGAAGGCTGTGCAAACAAATTATTTAACTTCTAAATGGCTGAGAATTGAGCAGTGAGACTGCAGGGGCAGGATCTGCACACCCAAACTGATTAATTAAGCTAAAGTTGCTTTGGTGCTTATAGTGCCCCTTTAAGTTCTTCTATTGACTAGAACTTTTACTGGTATCCTAGTCATGGTCCTGTTTGTCTCTGTAGTTAAAAAATGTATAGAATCCAGCTTAATTAATAATAATCAATGGGAAGACCAGCACTCAAGATCAATATAATGGAAATACACACAAATCTAGTAATGCAAGGAACAAATGTAGTAAGAGACATTGCATTGGAGCAGTGCTATACCTAGCATGAGGTTGGCAAGGCATTTGCTCTGGGCGGCACTTTCAGTGTCCCGTCCCCCCCGAGGTTGGCAAGCACTGATAATTAAGGAGAGTGGCGAGGGAGCACCCTCCCCTGAGCTCTCTCCTGCTCTGCTCCCTCGCGCACCTGCAGTGATGCCGGAGTCAGAATATGATGTCACTCCGGCCCCGGCATCACTGAGAAGCGCGAGAGGGAGCTGAGTAGGAAGAACACTGATCACTTGCCACCCGCACTGTACGCCCGCACGCCAGCCGGTAAGCCCAGCAGCTCCAGGGACCACACACCAGCTGCTCAGCCCAACACTGGACCCAAGGGAAATAGAGATTCCATGCTAACACTCCCAAAGGTAGGGAGGCTGGGTGGAGTGAAATTTTAAAAATAAAAATAAATTATGTGTGTCTGTAAGGGAGTTTGTATGTGTGTTTGTCAGTGAGAGTGTATGTGTGCTTGTCAGTAAGAGTGTATGTGTGTTTGCCAGTGAGAGTGTATGCCAGTGAGAGTGTATGTGTGCTTGTCAGTGAGAATGTATGTGTGCTTGTCAGTGAGTGTGTATGTGTGTAATGTATGTGTGCTTGTCAGTGAGTGTGTGTATGTATGTTTGTCAATGAAAGTGTATGTGTTCTTGTCAGTGAGAATGGGTGTGTGCTTGTCAGTGAGTGTGTATGTGTGTTTTGTCAGTGAGTGTGTAATGTATGTGTGCTTGTCAGTGGGTGTGTTTGTGCATTTGTCAATGAGTGTGTACATGTGTTTGTCAGTGAGAGTGTATTTGTGCTTGTCAGTGAGAATGTATGTGTGCTTGTCAGTGAGTATGTATGTGTGTTTTGTCAGTGAGTGTGTAATGTATGTGTGCTTGTCAGTGGGTGTGTTTGTGCGTTTGTCAATGAGTGTGTATATGTGTTTGTCAGTGAGAGTGTATTTGTGCTTGTCAGTGAGAATGTATGTGTGCTTGTCAGTGAGTGTGTATGTGTGCTTGTCAGTGAGAGTGTATGTGTGCTTGTCAGTGAGTGTATGTGTGTTTGTCAGTGAGAGTGTATGTGTGCTTGTCAGTGAGAGTGTATGTGTGCTTGTCAGTGAGTGTATGTGTGTTTGTCAGTAAGAGTGCATATGTGTTTGTCAGTAAGAGTGCATATGTGTTTGCCAGTGAGAGTGTATATTTGTTTGCATGTGTATTTGTCAGAGTATATTTGTTTCTCAGAGAGTGTGTATGTGTGTCTGTCGGTGAATGTGTGTGTCCGTCAGTGACTGTGAGTGTTAGTAAGTGTGTGTGTTTCAGTAAAAGTGTGTGTTAGTTAAACAGTGTGTGTGTCAATGACTGTGTATCAGTCAGTGAGTGTATGTCAGTGAGTGTGTATGTGTGTTTGTCAGTTAGTGTGTGTGTGTGTGTGTGTAATGTATGTGTGCTTGTCAGAGAGGGTGTTTGTGCATTTGTCAATGAGTGTGTATATGTGTTTGTCAGTGAGAGTGTATTTGTGCTTGTCAGTGAGAATGTATGTGTGCGTGTCAGTGAGTGTGTATGTGTGTAATGTATGTGTGCTTGTCAGTGAGTGTGTATATGTGTTTGTCAGTGAGAGTGTATGTGTGTTGGTTAGTAAGAGTGTATATGTGTTTGCCAGTGAGAGTGCATGTGTGTTTGTCAGTGAGAGTGTATATTTGTTTGTATGTGTATTTGTCAGAGTATATTTGTCAGAGTATATTCTCAGAGAGTGTGTCTGTCAAAGAGTATGTGTGTTTGTCAGTAAGAGTGTATGTGTGTTTGTCACTGAGAGTGTATATGTGTTTGGATGTGTATCTGTCAAAGAGTATGTGTGTTTGTCAGAGAGTGTGTATGTGTGTCTGTCGGTGAATGTGTGTGTCCGTCAGTGAATGTGAGTGTCAGTAAGTGTGTATGTTTCAGTAAAAGTGTGTGTTGGTTAAACAGTGTGTGTGTCAATGACTGTGTATCGGTCAGTGAGTGTATGTCAGTATATGCATCAGTGAGGGCATGTGTCTGTCAGGCAAAGAGAAATTTAGATATGGGGGATGAGTGGAGGGTGCCCATGTTTTGTCATGCCTAGGGCAGCACAAAACCAAAATACACCGCTGCATTGGAGTTGTGCTGGACAATAAAAAGAGTCCTGCTTTTCCTGCAGACCACAAGGAACAAAATTCCATATTCTACTCTTTCTAAACGTAGGGCTAGTAAACAAATATACAATGAGAATTAAGAGGAGAAAAGAAGTACAGTGAGAAATTAGGGTGAAAATTAGTAAATAAGAGTAGGAAAAGATAAATATAGTTGGAGATGTAATAGAACAGATTATGTGCAAGATATGGGAAACTTAGCTGCACCACAACCCATTCTGAAACCAGTAACTGAAGGTTCAAGCAATAATTACCAATTTTTTACTACTATTTTATATATAGAGAGAGTTTGTGTTTTGTGTTTGGAGAATGCAAGTCTAACTAGTAACGTTCAACAGACAAAATATATAGATATCATACCTGTCCCTTGCACAAGTGAAAGGGACAAACATATAAGGATGTAACAATTGTTTTCTCATTTGTTAGGATCTTAAAAACATATCTATATTTTTTTTTACATAAATGTAAAAAACAGATAACATTCGTATCTTGTAATACCTTTTTTATTGGACTAACAGAATGAATTATTAATTATTTTTACATAGAAAGAAAAAAATGAATAGGTGAAGTAATCAGACAAAATTTACCATTGTATGTTAGTAGAGCCCTGTGTTCATCCAGTAGAAATTAAACAGAACCCTGCAGCATGTAAAGATTATGTAGCCCTATAAAAAAAAAAAATAAAAAAAAATTAGTGTGGAAATATAATGTGAATAGTTTTCTGAGAATCCTAAATTTATATGGAATAATTACTTTTTGCTCTAATTTTCCTCAGGTGGAAAAGGTAATGCCAAACAGCACATTTTATTTTACTATTGTACGAAATCCAGTTTCTCACATGGAATCATCGTTCTCATATTTCAAAAACATAGATGTATTTCATGGAGCTAAAAGTCTAGAGGACTTCTTCACCAATACCTCAAAATACTATAAAACCAACAGTGCAAACGGTTACTATGCCAAGAACTTCATGGCTTTTGATTTGGGTTTTGACAACAATGGACGAGAATCTACAAAACACTTTAAACTTATGTGTCAGGCAGTAGACATCATGTTTGACCTGGTGTTAATATCAGACTACTTTGATGAATCTTTAGTGCTTTTGAAGAATGCACTATGTTGGACTTTTGAAGATATTCTATCAATTCCACTTAACAGTAGAAGCAACAATACAAAACAAGTACTCTCTAAAGAAACCCAGGAAAAGATCAAAAACTGGAATCAGTTAGACTGGAATCTATATGTCTACTTTAATAGGTCTTTCTGGAATAAGGTGGACAACTTTGGGAGGAAGAGAATGGAGAATGAAGTAGAGGAGCTTCGGAAAAAGAGGACTGAAATCACACAGATCTGCTTACAAGGTGAAGTGGATCCTGACCAAATGCAAAACAAATCTCTAAAACCCTACCAGTCAGGACTAGCCAGAATCCTCGGACACAACTTGAAGCCAGGATTAAAAGAAAGTGACAGGCTTTTATGCCAAAAACTAATTACTCCAGAAATTCAGTATACTGAACTACTGAAGAAGAGAGCTAAACATAATCTACACTAATACAATACTTCTCAGTATCTCTCACCTTCGACTCTTTTTTTTTATTTTTCCCAATACTTTGACACAGTTTTAGCACGGCTTTCTCATCTTCATACTTCTTGGAGTGTACAAAGTGTTTTGCTGGATCTTGTTCAAGCCCATAGAGCATTGTATTCTAATTTCTATCTGACCACTTTAAACTAGACACATGCAATTTATTTAGCTCCAAATTCCCTTTAGAATTCAGACTTATTTGGCAATCGGTGGATTCCAAATATCCAAAATCTTTACAAACCAAAACATTCGGAATTCATCTAAATGAAATGTTTCAGATTTGCTTTTATAAGGATAGCACCTTAGGGACTTTTCTATTAAGCATCTGAAACAGCAAAATTTAGAAAATCACTCTTTTTCTTAATTTTGATCTTTTGGCTGTTTAGGATATATCTCCCTAACTTGGTATCCTTACATGGGATTGCAATAATAAAGGGTATCAAATTAGGGACTTCTCAACTAAACAACTGAAAGAACATTTTTTTTTCTTCTTAAAAATGTATTTTCTTATGTTTACTCTTTTGGCTGTTTAGTACATGGTTTGGTATGATGTATATCTCAAAATGATTCTATAGTGAGTGTATGCAGCTACATAAATAATTTTAAGAGTGGTTAGAGTAAAAGGGGGTTTAATGGGACACTATAGTCGCCAAAAAAACTTTAACTTAATGAAGCTTTTTTTTTGTGTAAAGATCATGCCTCACACGGGCTTACTCTATACACCAAAACTGCTTTAAAAACATACAAGATTATGTAAGATAATATAAGGTCGATATAAGTTAGATTACATAGGGTTTTTCATGTTAAAGGGGTTAAAAAGGTTCAAAATGTTTATAGTGGTGGTATAAGGGGTGCTTATAATTATTAGGTTTAGAGTTAAATTGTGGTTAAATTTTGCATGTGGGTGTATGGTGTGTTTAATGTTTAAGAGGAGTGAAACCTAGGTTTAAGGTATAGGATATTTTTCAGGTGTAGGCTTTGAGTGCTTAAATTTGGGACAAATGAAATAGTTTGTTTTGAGGTTTTGGAAGGGGTTAAATTTTGAGTTATGAAAAAAAGTGTGCTCAGGATACAGGTTACAGGTATGTGGAGTTTTTGTTTTTGTGTTTGGAGATAATTGAGTTTAGTATAGTGCTTGACTCAATTATCAGTAAAGGGGAAGACTTTTTGTATTGTATGTGGGAGTGTCATACATTGTAAACATGTTATCATTGGTGTATAAGTTTATGTCCCTGTCTCCAACAAGGTCCATGTGGGCATACACTTTGCTTGGGGACTTGCATAAAAGGCCAGTGTGGCTACCATTAAACCAGTCCTGCTTTACCCTCAACATAGAGCCTCGCCTCGTGTTTGTAGGGACCTGCTATACAAACTATAACCACTAGCTCTTGTAAGAACTTCACAGGTTTACCTGCTATACTCTCTTGGAGGAGAGGCCTTCCCACTGGGAGCTGGATCCAGGAGTTTGGTCCAGGGTGGGAAGGGTCTGCGAGACCCCCAGCCAAGCTATGGCAGCTAGGGGGCTACAGTGCCGATGGTGTCTTGTGGAGTGATTGGAGTCCAAGATGAGCACTAGGAGCATCAATTGACGGAGGCACCCGGTCGGGGTGGAAGGCAGTTCCGTCACAACCCCTCCTTGTGCTGTGATTGGCCAGAGCTTGGCCTCTGACCCCAGAATGTACACGTGCATCACACGCACATTCTCGTGACTCTTGGAGGCGGAGCTACAAATGGCCTCGACCTCGTGGTCGACGCCATTTTGTTTGCCGCTTGTGGATCTGCCTGCAGGGAGACTGTCTGGGCTGTCAGACAGTCCCCCTGCTGGTGGGAAGTGTATTTAACATGTTTAAAATAAATTAAATATACATATATTGGAAGGCAGGGCCTGAAGTTGTGGGAGGGGCTATATCCCTTTAAAAGGGACTCCCCCTCCTACCTCATTCACCTTCTGGTCCAGATGCTCGTTTGGATTGCAGGTTCCCAACGTGGTTTTCAGTTTCTCCTGACATCTGCATTTTCAAAGTTTCTGGTGCTCCTACTGCCGGTTTCCCTACTAAACAGTGAGTTGGCAGGCCGGTATCATTGTACCGGTCTGCAGCCTACACATAGCCTGACCCGCCGAGGTCCACGGCTACAGTATTTTGGGGGACAGAAACCCCCTCGCCAGGGCTGGTTCGGCTTGATTCCCGCCGGGGGATCAGGCCTCATGCAGATCAGCCCTCACTCCCTCCCCCTCCCTGCTGCCGCTCACTGCACAGCAGCCGGTTCAAGTTATTCTGTAACCCAGCTCCTAACCCCCCCTCTCACTACACAACAGCCGGTTCATGTGTCACCCAGGTCCTAACCCACCCCCTCCCCTCCACTTCACAGCAGCCGGTTCAATATATTGTAGGACTTGGCTCCTAACTCCTCTCCCCCTCTCTCCAAGAGTGGGGAACCCCCCCCCCCAGGCTCATGGCAGGTAACGGTCAGGCGGCTAATACACTCAAGACCCCCCACGGACCTAATTCTGCCACAATAGCCGCACCAACCCGCCCCCCACCCCAACCTACAAGTGCCCTGTCGCATAAACTATTGAAAAAAAAATAATAATATAAATAAATACATTCTAAAATTAAGAAGTAACTATATTTTGCAAGGCTCCTTGATACCCTTTGTTAGGGTATCAGCAGTTTACAAATCTCTCCTCCCACATCCCCCCCCCAGTCTTACTTACCTACAGACGGGGGTTCACTCACACGGGCAGAGCTCCCTTCACAGCGTCAGCCAGAAAGCACGTCAAAAATGTTTTTAAAAAAATTACAGCAATGCTGACGGCAATACAAGTTGTAACCACTAGAGGTCGCCCTATAAATAGTAATGTTATCTGGTATATTTCAAATTCTGTGATATGTGTTAACAATGGCAATATTAAAAATGGTAAGATTTATATATTACGTTAGGAATAATAAAGTATTCATTTAATTCACGCACAACCGGTTACGTATAGATTTGTGGAAACAACTGTTTAAAGCATATAAGTCAGATATAAGCTGCTCTCGGCACTAAATTGTGATGTAATTATGTGACTAATCTACCTAATATGTGGATCTATGTGACTCAAGAATATATACCATATACTCACACCACGGTTTCAATTAAATCTTCAGAATTACTTGCGTGGTTATAGACAAATTGCAAGTTCAAGAATATTTTCCCTTTATTTGGTGACCTGGTATACTGATTCCCCTTGCAGGGTCAGAGACCGAGACAAAGACAAGTATTATATTACTTCCTTGGTATGTACAACATATGGGCGACGTATGTCCCATTAATCAGACATATGACACTCAGTGCATATGCTCACAAATGTATGCCGAGTGCACTTTGTGCCAAGCAGATATTTGGGGCACTGCCATAACGGTTTTACATGTGTTTACAGTCTCAAGAACCAAACTAAGACGGACTTGGCCTTCAGAACCTACTTACACGCAACCTACAACCATAGGTAGGTGATCCTAGGACATACACCACAAAAAGTGGGGGGGGGGGGGCATGCTTCAGCTACAAGATAGCAGTACACACTTATATGTACCTTATGCCTTCCATTCTGTCATCCAGCACCGGGTTTAGGCCATCCTCCCTAACAGTAATCAAACTACTACAGGACTGCCAGGCAAACGTTGGGCACTCAGGTAAGTTATGTCGGTTGCAGAAACCAGTATAAGAAACATCAACATGCCCACTTAATTAATTCTCCTCCCAGGCACCTTCTGCCATAGGGTTAGAGGTCCCGCGAGGCCAACTTCCATCCTCGATGTAAGAGGTATTAAACCCCCACGGGCCAAATCATAGCTAGACGCCTCGCATGTTGCATAGCTAGGGCGTCATCCGTCATAACCCTCAATTAATGATAAAATCTCCACTGGTAAAACATGTACAACAGATCAACCCCACGCGCCAACCATAATTAAATCCTACTAGCCACTTGGCATTTAATAGGGACTCACCTGCCACAAGTTTAATGAATTATTTCACCACTTTGGCACTAGTTAAACATTTTACACTCTCCATAATGAAACTCACGATTACATACGTATATATTTCAGTATGTCCCAAGTTCATGAAGAAGGAGATGAACTATCAATGCCTAGTACACAGACCAGGACTGCCACCCCCACACGCAAAGGGGACATCAGCAGCCCGTCATCTATTAGATCATGGACCATCCCACGGATCACGGCCGAACTAAACGTAGTATTCCTTATCCAGCTACGGCCCGCAAGGCAGAATTGTACAGGCTTATGCAAGCCAATCAGGACAATTCTGACGCCAGGGAAGGCACTAGTAATTCAAGCAATGCTAATCTGCATACCATGGTCGCCTCACTAGTATCTTCCATGGGGCAGATTAATGAGAGACTGGAGAGACTGGAAGCTCGTAGCGGTCCAGTTGTGACACCAGAGCCACCTGCTACCGATAACCCAGGGCCATCACAAGCCCAACCTGGTAATCCTAATACCCCCACTATCCTTGGGTCACAAGTGATCAACCCAGCCCATGTGGTACCAGCAAACCTTAAAAAAGACATCCTGGAGGGCAAGGATGTAAATCTAGTCTCTCTGCTTATTGCCTCCCAGGATATCACAGAAAACCGCGCATATACGTATGTCGATATTTCTGTGGTCCTCAAGGCCAGAGATCCTAGACTAAGCAAAAAACTAGCAATCCCAGACTTCGTTATCACATTCGGCATATACAGGGACGTACTGTGCTCAGTTTACCCACAGAGAAGGGAAGAGTTAGACCTGTACATGCACAAGCTGGTAGACCTGGGCAACAAAACGGTGGGTCATCATTTTACGATTACCACCGTTCTTTTTCTACTAAAGCGGCAACAGCTCTCGCCCAGTATAACGCCAGAATGGATTGGAGCCTAATGGATACAGAGCTGTTCCTCAGCTACTTTGCCGGGCTAAGGTCTCCAG